ATCTTTATGGCTAGGGGAGGAAAACCCAAGTCAACCAGATCATTCCAAATGAATACCTCCTTTCCCAGGGAGTGGAGCCCAGCAAAAATTGTTAGGGAAGGGTCAATGAAGGAAATGTTAGAGGAAAACAGAAATCATGCAGATTTCCCCCTTTTCCTCTCCTTTCCCTTCAAAGAGAATATGGAGGTTCAATGATGTGAAAGTAACCTACCTGCAGTGAACAATGATTGGAGCATTTTTTTCTTCGGCACACTGCACGGCTTCTTCTACTTCCTGAACCAGTTGCAACAGGGGAGGTGCTTGGTCAGGGGTCTTCTGGTCAGGCCAAGATGTATACCAGTAATGTTTCAGATTCCTTATTTCTTCACCTTTCTATGAGCCATTCAGAAAGAGAATAAGAGGCAAAAGTGAGAAACCTCTTTTTATTTTACTCTCCAGCATTTAAAATGACAAATTCCAGGAGAGAAATTAGGGTTGCCAATAGCTAGAAGAAAAAAAATGTCCCTTTAAAAGAGGTGTAAAAGGTAAAGGTTCCCTTGCTCAAAAGCCAGTCGAATCCGACTCTAGGGTTGCGGTGCTCATCTCCGTTTCAAAGCCGAAGAGCCAGCACTGTCCGAAGACGTTTCCGTGGTCATGTGGCCGGGCATGACTAAACACCAAGGCACACGGAACGCTGTTACCTTCCCACTGAAGCGGTACCTATTTATCTACTTGCAATTTCTTGCTTTCGAACTGCTAGGTTGGCAGGAGCTGGAACTAGAGACGGAAGCTCACTCCGTCATGCGGCACCCTGGGTCTTGAACTGCTGAACTACTGACCTTCCACAGCCTGTAGTTCAGTGTCTTAACCACTTGAGCCACCGCAGTGTGTGTGTAGTGTGATGTTATTTGCCAGGTGACATAATTTACCTTCATGTCATGAAAAGCTTCAGATGCCCATTTTCATACAGGACATTTCCTCCCAGGCTTCTCAACTAGGGTTGGGCAAGAACTGGGAAAATATGGTTCGGCTCATGGTGTTGCCCGGTTTGCGAACCACAAACCATCACAAACTTTTCGGGGCTAAACAAACTGATTCAGTTCAATTCATGATGTGACAGAACAGCCCCCCCCCCCCCCATAGTCTAGGAACACCAAACCTCCAGGGGCTCCCCGGCCAACACTATGCTGGGGATTATTAGGAAGGGAATTGAGAACAAATCAGCCAGTATCAAAATGCCCCTGTATAAATTTGGAGTACCGTGTACAGTTCTGATCACCACACCTAAAAAGGATATTACAGGATTGAAAAAAAGTGCAGAAAAGGGCAACTCGAATGATAAAAGGGTTGGAACACTTTCCCTATGAAGAAAGGTTAAAGCGCTTAGGGCTCTTTAGCTTGGAGAAACGATGGCTGAGGCGTGACATGATCGAGATTTATAAGATTATGCATGGGATAGAGCAGGTAGAGAAAGAAGTACTTTTCTCCCTTTCTCACAACACAAAAACTCGTGGGCACTCAATGAAATAACTGAGCAGTCGGGTTAGAACGGATAAAAGGAAGTACTTCTTCACCCAAAGAGTGATTAACACATAGAATTCACTGCCACAGGAGGTGGTGGCAACTACAAGCATGGACGGCTTCAAGAGGGAATTAGATAAACATATGGAGCAGGGTATAGATAGGAACTCTCAGTCTGGGGCAAGTGATACTCTGTATTCTTAGTGCTTGGGGGGGGGGCAACAGTGGGAGGGCTTCTAGTGTCCTGGCCCCACTGATGGACCTCCTGATGGACCTGGTATCTTGGCCACCGTGTCACAGAGTGTTGGACTGGATGGGCCATTGGCCTGATCCAACATTGGCTTCTCTTATGTTCTTATATTACCTAGTATGTTATTAATTCTTTTAAAGCAAAGTCAGTCAGCCCTCCTACTAATAAACTGGCTAAACTGAATAGATATGCATAGCTATGGCTGTCTACAAAAATATGATGTACTAGCAGGGCTATTTTTGGGCAGGAACGTGCAGGAACGGAGTTCCGGCTGGCTCCCGAGGTGGCCACGCCCAGCAGGAGCTCATTAGCATAATAGGCCACACTCAATAGCAGAAACTCATTAGGATTGGCTACATTAGGGGTGTGTGGCCTAACATGCAAAGGAGTTCCTGCTACAAAAAAGCCCTGGGTTTTGACAACAAACAAAGTAAACAGAATAAGAAGCAAAAGGTGGGTGTGGCTGGATGACCACACTTCTGGTAACATGGGGGTGCGGCCTAATGGGCTAATGAGCGGTGTTGCCAGGGGTGTGGCCTAATATGCTAATAGGTTTCTGCTGTTGGGTGTGGCCTATTATGCTAATGAGTTCCTGCTGGGCTTTTTCTACAAAAAGAGCCCTGTGTACTAGGACAGTTGCAGAAGCACCTTAAGACTGGAAAGCAGGACAAGTCCACTGTGCTGTGCAGTCTATCCATTGCTCTGTGATTCTATGTTGTTACTAATTTACATGAAATGCACAAGAGTTGCACAAATATAGCTGGGCTGCTGTATTAAATAACCAGTTTGCACTACCTATACCTCCCACGGTTGTTCTCCATCTAGTTCTACAACACCCAATTGCACTGAGCAATGACACTACATGTCATGTGGCAACAGCAGTTATTGTTGGCATAGCTGTATGGATCTCTGCTGCTGTCCTGCCATGACATTCTTGCACGGCTCACAACAGTGAAATAAAAAAGCACAGTTTATGATGCTACGCTAACATAACAGCCATTTTACACTATTCTAAACATTTTAACTGATTAACAAGCTCCTGTATCGTTACTATTGGCTACGTACACTGTCAGAAATTGTATTTATATCCCAATAGACAGGCAGCTATTTCTAATTGCATATACCACATGTCATCCTCTGTGAAAGCAGAAGGCATAAGGTTTACTTTTTCTTCAGTCCTACTGAATCAACAAATATGCTGCTCAGTTTGCAGGCATGGTCATTCATTGTGCTTGCTTCACTTTACGGCTGCATAATCTTATATCTGATTGGAGTTGTAGGATGCTGAAATGTTTGTTTCAATCTTCAGTTAATACACTCCAAACAATTATCTTCAAATATAGAAACGCCTATGGAAGGATATTGTAGGCTTCATTCAAATAATAGACTGGCTTTCAATACAAAGAAAAACTATACAGACTTTTAATTTTTAGGAGTTACGTGATCCACGGAAATTGAGTTACAAAAGCATCAACCAATAAAACGTCAAGTGATTAAACCAATAAAACTTCCCAATCAAACCAGGACAGTTTGAGCATGGGAAATTATTAAAACCCATGGACAAAAATAACCATTGAAACCTAACTGTTGTGGCAGAAGATGAACAGCAGCATCCAATGCTTCTGAAGAAGGGGGAAGATATACGTATACCTGGGTCCACATTCACAATTCAATTTACAGGTAGGAAATTTGCTTAGGATGCTTGGCAGATCAATGAGAAAGAAACTATTCTTGTGTACTTTATTCCCAGTGCAAATAGATAAAGATCAGGCAGCAATGCATACTACTTCGTTTTAGGAGGGAAATGACTCAACATTCTAGTTTGTAGTCTAAAATATGTGTAACTAAATAACATTGCTTTTAGCTTGATTATTAGAAAATCTTTAGAAGTACACAAAATCTTTATTGGCAAAAGGCTTAGTACTCTATTTTCTGAAAAGGAAGATGACCCTGAATTTAAGACACTGCCCTCCCCCCAAGTGTTACACACACACACAGACACACACACACACACACACACACACACACACACAAAGTATTACTGGAAATAACTGTCACTTCTATGTAAATTTAGTCAGCCCCCTAGTCTTGCATTTAAGTAAATACTGTAGATTTTCAGTGCAATCCTAAGCAAAGGGAAGCCAACGTCCACAAGGAAGCTGCCTGTCAAACTGCAGCTCCTTCAAGGGCCACAGCCCTGCCTCTTTTCAAGGCGCAGGCATTTCCAGATGTCACCGGAGATGGGAGAGGGTAGGCAATGGGAACCGACAGGAGTCATTTCCTGCAGGAGTGCACAGGAGCGGAGCTCCGGCAGTAAAGAGCCCAGGGGGCAGGCACATGCAACAAGCCCCACCCCCTGCTCCCAGCAGCTCTCAGTCAGAGCAAGAAGCTGCCAGGTAGGTTGCAGAGCCCCCCCCCCGGTCCAAAACAGTCCAGTGGCACCTTTAAGACCAAGCTTTATTCAGGTACAAGCTCTCCCTCCTCTGCAAGGACAGATCTCCACGTTCCACCCCCCCATATACCTGGAGCTCATTAGCATAACTCATTAGCATAACTTATTTGCATATGCCACAACCCCTGACATGACCAGACTTGTGTCAGAAGGCAACACCCACCGCTCAGGCTCCACTGGACTGTTTTGGATTGCTAGCTATTGGGGGGGGGCGTGCAGATCTTTCTTCACAGAGGAGGGAGTTCTTGGACCTGAATAAAACTTGGTCTTAAAGGTGCCACTGGAGTGTTTTGGCCTGGGGGCCTGGGGGGGGGTGGGGCTTGTTGCACGTGCCCGCCCCCTGGGCTCTTTACTGCCGGAGCGCCGCTCCTGTGCGCTCCTGCAGGAAATGACCCCTGACATTATCTCTGTTTTTTCCTTCTTTTCCATACTATGTTTGTATTGTACGCTGGTCTTAGGACCGTAATAATAAAACTAAACTAAACTAATCTGGGCCAGTGCACACCTGGGGGCCTCTGGCGGATGATGGCCTGATGCTGCCTGCCTGGATGGGGCTTGGAGCAGGCATGCCCAGTGCAGCCAGGGCAGGTGTGGCTGTACTGCAGGAAGACGACGCCCAGGCAGCCTGACACAGAGTGGGGGGGGGGGCATGACCTCTATTGGAAGTGAGCCTGAGGAAAGGTACAGGTGAGGGAAGGCAAAAACCTGCTCACAGACCCCCTTGCTATAACTCCGCAGCCGCCCACGGGTCCCTGGCCCACAGGTTGGAAGCCACTATTCTATGGCTTTCACTTTGGTCTTAAAGGTGCCATTGGACCCAAACTTTCTTCTGCTGCTTCAGACCAACACAGCTACCCCCCCCTCCGGAATTTATTGTTCTATTTTAATTAAAAATACTCATTAACTCTTCTCTCATACACACGTACACATGGGCAAGGAAGATTACTTCACTAATGCCGGTGATGCCTCACTGAAAAAGTACATAGAGAAATACCTCTTTAAAGAACACTCCAGCCATATGATGTCACCGAGTATTTTAAGTGTCCCCTGTATTACAACAAGATTCACGTCTTCTGGCCAAGTTCAGGCTGGCAGTTTGCAGTGCTGGGGAGTCGTGGCAAAAAAGGCCCAACTTGGCCACGGTATTCCCGTTCACACTGCAGCGAATGAAGCGGGAGGATACCGTGGAGGAAGCGCAAGGGAGCGTTCACACTGTCGGGCTATTAGCGGCTGTTTCTGCGCTCTGCTGCATGCGCCTATGCGCATGGGCGCCTGCCGTGGAAACAGCCAGCGCCTATTATCAACGACTGCGGGTTGTTCCTGCCTTAGCGGCGCTTGCGTTCACACGTCAGGGAACCGGAATCAACCCGCTCTATGTCAACATTCTAATGTGCAGTTACGTCTGGCTGTAGATCTGTGGCATCTAAGTGACAGGAGCTGACAGCTCTGAGTGTCTAAAGAGCTGGCTCTGGCCGGTTCATGGCAGAGCTAATTAGACAGTGACTCAGCACTGGCCCTGATTGGCTAATGGAAGTATAAGTACGGTGATGTACAGAGCAAACTATCTTCTTGTGAATATTGGGTGTCTGCGTGAGCATTATGTCAGTCTGTGCAATCATTGGTGAAGGCTTCTGTAAATAAACTGTAAATAGATTTTACACCAAGCCTTGAAGACTCCAGTCTTATTGGATACTCTTACACCCGTGCACTGTCTGCAGTGGGCTAGCCCCGCGTACTACCGACACTCTACACGCGGTTTGCTACCACTTTCACCTGGTACTTTTTAAACTCGGGAGGGAAGCGGCACAAGACGGCTTGAGTACGGCTGGGGGGCGCCTGACAGATGTGCCCGTGTGAACCCGCCCCTTTAATCCGCTACTGAAACGCTCCTGAAACGTTTGGCTGCCGGGCCAAAGCGCCAGCCTGAACTCAGCCTCTGGGTGCTGTTATCTGCACCACTCTAACAACCAACTTAAAATGCTCAGTAATACCACCAATTTGCAACAGATCAGTGCCAAACTGAAGCAGATTTAGCACATAACTGACCTGCCATCCCAGAAACTGGGATGGCACAGTGCTAGCAGCTGAGTTAGGATCATTTTCAAAGGCCAGTCAAGAAACTATTATGGAGCCAGCGGGATGTAATAAATGACCTGTAGACACTTGTGCAGAATGATTCACTGGATTATTCTAACATATGAGGACGTTTACAAGTGACCACGACATCTTCAGGAGCTGCGGTGGCTCAAGTGGTTAAGACGCTGAACTGCAGGCTGTGGAAGGTCAGTAGTTCAGCAGTTCGAGACCCGAGTGTGCCGCCTGATGGAGTGAGCTCCCATCTCTAGTTCCAGCTCCTGCCAACCTAGCAGTTCGAAAGCAAGAAATTGCAAGTAGATAAAT